GTACGGGTTTGAGTTGAACCATGGAGCCACTCTCTGTCGTTTGATAACCTTCTGTTTTAGGGGAGCAATCGAATCAAGAGTAACTCTCAGCGAATCCACTGCACTATCAACAAACTGATCTAGCTGAGAGGGACTAAAGCTATCATAAGAGTTTCCAACTGGGTTGAAACACGGTACTGAATCAAAAGCAGCCAAAATAGCTTCCTTAAATCTAGCCACAGCACTATCCGAAAAACTTCTAGAGAGCACATTTTTATAAAGCAGAGATAATTCTGGTAGGACAAAATCGAAAGTAATAAGGAAATGGTCTGATAGAAGAGGAGTTTCTAGGAAAACTGTAAGGTTTTGGATTTCAATGCCATAAGCTAAAACAAGATCCAGGGTGTGTTTAAAACGATGAGTAGGTTCGTTTACACCCTGGGTGAAACCAGTAGAGTCTAATAGTGACATGAAAGCTGTGCTAAGGCTATCATTATCAACATCCACATGGATATTGAAGTCACCTACAACAATTATTCTATCACTGCTAAGGACTACATTTGATAAAAATTCTGCAAATTCAGATAGAAACTCAGAATATGGGCCAGGAGGACGGTAAACTACAACAACTAGAACTGGCTGAAAGGTTCTTGAGACTGGATGTGAAAAACTAAGAACAAGGCTTTCAAAAGAAGAAAAATTCAGCTTTGGTCGAGGGTTAACTAGAAGACTAGAATTAAAAATAGCTGCTACTCCACCACCTTGTCCGGTGTCTCGAGGTATATGAGTACTAAAATGACTGGGAGAAGTGGATAATTTTTTTTTTTAAAGATTTATTTTGGGCTTTTCGTGCCTTTAATGCAGAGGGAGGACAGTGGATAAAGTCGGAAACCAGGGAGAGAGAGTGGGGAATGACATGCGGAAAGGGGCCATGGGTGGAAGCGAACCCGGGCCTACCGCTCGATACGAGAGTCTCAATACATGGGACGCGCACCCCAGGAGTGGATTCATTTAAACTAACATATTCATCTCGACACAGCCAAGTTTCAGTCAAACAAATAAATCAATATGCTGATCTGATATCAGATCATTCACTAAAAGAGATTTGGATGCTAAGGATCTAATGTTCAAAAATCTGCAGTGAATCTTCTGATTTTTTAGCAAAATCGTATTCGTAGTTTTGATTCTAATGAGATTTTGACGATTTACGCCTTTTTTTTCTACGTTTGGATGACTTATAAAAACGGGTCTGGGCCGGGGGACAGACACAGTACCTATAGTATAACTACAGTTCGATTCAGAATTACAGCTATAGTGACTGGGAGACAGATCTAAGGGAGGCGCAGAGAAGCGTGTAAGACTGCAGCTCTGCCTCCTGGTCTGAACTCTGTTGTTGTTGTCAAGGTTTTGGACTAATAACCTCTGCTATGTTTCTAGATAATAGAGCTGCACCGTCCAAAGTGGGATGGATGCCGTCTCTAGCTAGCAGACCAGGTTTTCCCCAAAAAGACTGCCAGTTATCTATGAAGCCCACATCGTGTGCTGGACACCAGCTCGACAGCCAGCGGTTGAGTGATGACATGCGGCTATACATGTCATCACTGGTCTGATTTGGGAAGGGTCCAGAGAACACTACGGAGTCCGACATCGTCTTAGTACACACCGACTCCACATTAACCTCAGTGACTTCCGATTGGCGTAGTCGGGAGTCATTAGTACCGACATGAATTATGATTGTATCAAATCTACCTTTAGTCTTTGTCAGCAACTTTAAATGAGATGCGATGTCGCCCGCTCTGGCCCCGGGGATACACCTAACTATGCTCGCTGACTTCGCTAGCTTCACGTTTCGGACGATGGAGTCTCCAATAATCAGAGTTTTATTCTCTGTGTGTCGCTGAGTGGAGAAAATTTGTTTGAAACGTGAAGTGGTTGGTGGGGAACCGTGTGCTTCGATTTTCGACTATGCTTTCCTCTGACAGTAACCCAGCCACTGCCTCCCGGCTGCTCGGGAGCTACCGGGGAGGAAGCCAAGCTATGTCTGCCCACACCGGCTACAGGTGGCTGGCTAACTACTGCTGTATACGATGACTCTGACTCAATGGTGCGGAGCCGTCTCTCTAACTCAGACACCCTCGCCCCAAAGCTAAAAATAAACTACATTTCTTACATGCATCATTATCACTAAAGGAGGATGAGGAGTAACTTAACATCTGACACGTAGAGCAGGAGAGAGCAGGAGAGGGAGAGACAGAAAAAGAAGCCATTATAAATAAAGCTAACTGCTAAGCTAGGCTAAGAGTAGGTAGCTAAAATAAGGGTTTGTCGCTAGAGAGAAAGAGTGCTTTTGGATTACTTCTGTTTGTCTGAACGTACAGGGTGTTGGAAACAACAGTCGCAAGAAACTAGGCAAAAATAACAATTAAGCTTTTAGCTCTAACGATCAGCACTGAACAACACAGAACAAAAGCAGCGTAGAACAGGAAATGATGCAATACACTCACCCGTAGTACGTAGCACGTAGCATGTGTGTGTGTGTGTGTGTGTGTGTGTGTGTGTGTGTGTGTGTGTGTGTGTGTGTGCAAACCCACCTGCACACATCATGCCCGGTTTGAAGCGATCTTTGTAAAATCCCTGACAGTCATCGATGAGGGACACGTTGGCCCACTGTAAAACCTGAGCTGCTCGGCCGTCTGTCAAAACAAACATTTAGATTTCAGTTCTCACATTTAAAAACGATTTATTTCCCTCCGTTAATCTCTACTTTGTCACCTGCGGTCCGTCCCCACCCGGAGATGCTGCAGGTGTGGTTGGGCTGGAACAGGTGTGTTGTCCAGGGAACACAGACGGCGCTGACGGCCGGGTTATCCATCAGACACTCCTCACTGAAGGGAAGCTTCTGCAGCTGCACCAGAGCGATGTCGTTCTGGTACGTGCTGGCGTTGTACCTGCAGGACATTCACTCTGTTACCATTCAGTCAACATTCACTTCATGTATTAATGCCGTGCTCTGCAGGGTAAAGGTTTAGATAAATGGACGGATACATTGGGTGGATGTGAATCTCCTCGACGGGAACGATGTCGGTCGTGTCCTGAACGCGAGACTTCTTCCAGAGAGAAAACTTCACTTTGAATGCAGACGGGTTGGGCCTGACGTAAAGAGAGGTGAGAGACTATTAAACTGAGAGCATGAACATCAGATAATGCATCACCAACAAAGAGGGGTCACTGATTGGTTGTCTCAATGAGTCGAGTGAGGTGAACCTTCAGGAGTTAAGTGTTAGATGAACTGAACTTCTGTTGGTTTGTCTGGGAAGCTTTCCCAACAGGATTGGTCAGAAGTCGATGCGTATCTCAGGTGCACATAGTAGTCTACTTTCCTGCTGTATCAACATTCACAGATCCTTACCTGACGCAGTGAGCAGCGGTGATTACCCAGCATCCTCCGATATAAGCGCCCCCACAATCAATCTTCCCTCTTTCCTCCAGAGCAACCTGCCACTGGATCTGAGTCTGCAGACGGACACACGAGGGTATGTTTCAATGTAACGTTCAGGATCCTTTAACATGAAGGAACTGACACAGGAAATGATGCCGCCGCTAGCAAGACACGGTGTTGATCTAACAGGTGTGTTTACTGACCGGGTTTGCTGGGACTCCACCCACCACTCTCTTGACTCGGCTGCTCCGTCCTCGCTCCTCCGCTTCCAGATCGTCCACCGTGGTCGCATTGGGGATCCCACAATGCAACCTGGTCTCCATATGCTTCCTGCTGACCTTTATTTCTGGACACAAAGAGTTCCTAAACATTCATACCCAGCTGTGATGATATTTGGTGATGTTCGGGAAACGCTGAGTCCTGGACCCGTTGGCTGTAACTTGACTTTTGGTTTACTAGACTGCAGCACTGACACATGACTACCCTATTATGTGCACACCCGACTTCTCCAGACATATGTGAGGACTAAAACGGTCCCTCCATTGACCCTGAACGTCGGGATACCTGATGATACATTATTGAAATGATTGCTGTGTTGGTTACGTACCTTCCTTTGGAGAATGATACTCTGAAACGAGGAAACAACAAACATCCTTATCACCAACACAACTATCATTCAAAGGGATCAACACACTGCAACGCTTCAGTTACAGACGTACCTGTGTTGTTGAGTCTTTTATCAACCACTGGATCTGTTGGAAAAAGACATATTTTATAGAGTAAAATCACTGGCGGATGGTTTTAAACTGACAGAACTAACAAATGACGAGTCATTTTCATCGACACTTGATTCAACCTACGCTTCAAAAGGTTCTTTAGTTTAATTTGATTCAATTTCTTAGATTACACAGTGACTCAAAGAACATCAAAATGACTGACTTCACACCACATGGGAATGTAAAACAACAGAATCTAAAATAACATTATTTATTTGTTCACTTCTTTTTTTTGCACATAAGGCTAGCTAATGAGCTAGCTAATGCTAAAGCTATGCTGTCTAGCTGAATGCACCATTCTAGCCTTAGAGATGTTACTCCTGTTCTGATGTTTTGGTACCTTGTCCTGTATAATCAGCTTGGCGCTCGACACGGGTGTTCTTCACACTCCGAGCTTGAAAATCAGGGACGTCATCTTCTCCATTGCCCATCATGAACCCGCCCAAATCAAACCCCGCCATGTCAAACGTATTCCCATGTGATCCTTTGGAATCTCCCATGATGCTGCCCTTGGCACCACCAGACTGGAAGTTGCTGGTTGACGAGGAGGAGGAGGAGGAGGAGGAGGAGGATGATGGTTGGCTGAAACCTGGAAAGAGGGAGTCCATCCCTCCATCACTCAGGTCTGCCATTGACTGGCACTCTGGCCCTCCCTCCATCACATGCTCCACCCTTTCCACTGGGCCGTCCTTTGTGTGGACAACAGTGGTCTTGGTTCGCCTGGTGCATGTGATGGTTGAGCTGGATGTGGATGTGTGACTTGTGCTTGGATAGCTGCCACCTACACCAAATAAATCAACTCCAAACTCAGTGGTGGATTTAGCTGATGTGGATGAGGAGGCCGATGATGAGGATGTAGATGGAGAGAGGGAAGTACCTGAGACTTTTGAGATGGTTGCTGGGGATGTGCTGGAGCCTTCCTGCGATAGGATCAACTGGACTGCCTGCACCTGAGAAAGAAAAACAAGATGTTAAATTGGTTTGTCTTTAGTGAGTGAAATCATTGGTGGGTTTTTTTTGTTTTCTTTCACTGTACCATCATCAGATAAAGTCTGTGAGATTTTTTGGATGTGCAGAGAAATTGGAGAGCTAGCTTTCCGTTAGCTACGTGTTGTGTTGATGTGGGACTTGAAGGCTGTGACTCTCGGGGGAGTTGTGTGCAAACACCATACCTGTATGACTACGCAAACCTTTTGATGGGACTTATAGTGTTAAAGGTGTCAAACCCAGAAACCCAGTTCCCTCACCTCAGGGAACAGGTTTTCTTTCTGCTGCCCGGCAACATCCTTGGACTTGTAGATGCTGTCCACTAAGACGTCCTGCAGTGGCTTGCTCTTCATCACGTACAGCGTCCCAACAGACTCCTTAGGTGTCTGGTTGTCCAACTGGTTGACCTGGAAAAACATTAAAAGGAAAAAGTTGGTTCTGCTCTAGGTCCTTGACAATCTTTATCAACCAGGTATGGAATAGTAAACGCAAAAAACAAATTGTTAAAGCAACACTCTGTAACTCCTCCTCCTTCAGTCGTTCCGATCTAACAGAACAATAACCTCCAACAGGGAGAATGGCGTCTCTCTCAGAGCGCCCCGCTCGCCTGTTTTTAGCACTATGTAACTTTGTCAGCGGGTTGAGGTCATCTGGTGAGAAGTGCATACGTCTTCACGGCTCTAGTTCTACAACAGTTCCTTGCTTTGAACTTTCCTTACTTTACACTTTGTGTCTGTCATCAGGTATCAGCTGGTGGTTATAGCTGACAACAATCAGAAATGTTTCACCTGCTGTCGTCTGTAGCTGCAAACTTAAACTCTGTTACAGAGCACTGTGTTTGGTTACTGGATGTAACTACAGTTCTATGAGAATGTCTGAGACCTCTAACCAGCTTTGCTGTTGGTTGTTCTCCTTGGGGAAACACTGAATGCTTTCAGGTTTCTAAGGTTACTTTTTTAACACAGGAAGAGAATCTGGACGTAGGTTCCCTTCAGTCTAAAGTTCATGTCCATTAGTTTCTTACCTGCTTTTCCAGAGCCTCGTAGCTCTCCTTGTCCACCTGGTACTCAGAGTAGCCTGCACAGGATCCTTTGCAGGAACGGAGCTTAATATCAATGTCCACCTAACAGACAGGACGAAGAGTTGGAAATAGGTGGAATAGATTAATGTGCGTTTATTCACCAACTGGACAAAAGATCTGAACGTAAGCAGAAGTGGAGAAAGTCATGAAATCTATTGTTGACCTGAGCCTGACACTGAACAAACATCTGGGAAACATGGACCCAGATGAAGAGGGCCACATCGGGGGGACCCAGATAAAGAGGGCCACATCGGGGGTGCCAGATGAAGAGGGCCACATCAGGGGGACCCAGATGAAGAGGGCCACATCGGGGGGACCCAGATGAAGAGGGCCACATCGGGGGGACCCAGATAAAGAGGTCCACATCGGGGGGACCCAGATAAAGAGGGCCACATCGGGGGGACCCAGATGAAGAGGGCCACACCGGGGGGACCCAGATGAAGAGGGCCACATCGGGGGGACCCAGATAAAGAGGGCCACATCGGGGGGACCCAGATGAAGAGGGCCACATCGGGGGGACCCAGATAAAGAGGGCCACATCGGGGGTGCCAGATAAAGAGGGCCACATCGGGGGTGCCCAGATAACGAGGGCCACACCGGGGGGACCCTGGCAAACTTTAGCTAAACTCAGAGGCGCTGCTCAACAGACAAGCAGGCAACCGCTCAGGGCCCTGGACCAGTAGCCCCCTGAGGGCTCACAAACTTAAACCAAAGCAGTGGCTCAAAATGTGCACAGTGGGAAACCTCCCTAAAGGGGCCCCATCTGAAAGCACTCTCTCTTGTTGTTAATGAGTTAGTTTGATTTTCTAACTGTGGTATAAACCTCTTGGCCCCCCTTGCTGATATGACTTTGTGAAGTGCTGTGCCTCCGTACCTCCAGCCGCTGCATCTCCACCACCTGGTCTTTGACGCGGTCTTTCAGGGCGGCCAGGATACTCAGCTGTCTGTCGATCTTGATCTTCATGTCTGTGATTCTCTGACGCAGACTCTGGGCCAGGTTGTAGTAGTTGTTATCGTTACCTGGTGGAAAACAGGAAGGAGGTTTTATCTGATGTTGACACCTTCTTGATTTAGAAACATGTCAAAGAATCCACAACAGAAGCTTCATTTGATATACTCCATGAACATTGATTTGTAAATGTCAGCAGAGTCCAACTGAAACATTTGAGATGGTTAAACTAACCGGAGTCGATGATAAGCTTGTCCTTCAGGTAGTCATAGGTCTGTTTGGACGCCGTGTCTGCAGAACGGTGTTTGGCCTTGTTTTGTTCCAGGAGGCTGCGGATCTTCTCGATCTTCTTCAGCAGGTTGTGGTCAGATTTATCCATCAGACCCTGAATCCTGCAGCCGGACGGACATTTAAAACCCTGAGACACGAGGGGAGAAAGATCAGAAGCGTCTTCTTTCCCTAAAGCTCCTGAAAACAAACTGGATTACAGATATTTAAATACGCTCTTCAAAGTTGTTCTTAAGGAGGAATTCAGTGATCTTAAAACTCTTTCCTGTTCTGCATTACATATGCTTGAAGTTTGAATGACCTACAGATTATTATGAATATAATAATATATCTACTGATTAGTAGATCAGGAAACCGGATGTGAGGCTTTCATGTGATCCTTCAAACACAACAGGTCCAAAGTGTCTTAAAGTTCTTGATTCTGTCAAAGAAAGGTTCAGACTCGTGTGGTCAGACTATGTTTGACTCCTGAAATCACTTCCTTCAAAGACCCCCGACCGACAGTCTTTGAACCCTGCAGGACACGTTCCAATGTTTTAAAGGTTTGGTATGTGTGTATTACACAACAAGAGAAAACACTGTTAAGGCCGGGGGAGATCAGATACTCTCTACTCCCTCAGACTCATCAGGTCTCTCTCTGCAGGGATCCTTTCTGTTGTCAGAACAACAACCTGAGCCTGTCAGGGACACACTTCACATATCTCTGTCCTCTGATTTAAACACAGTCTCCCTTTAAGCTGTTCTGACCACTGTTGGAGAAATAATTCATGGATGATTTATTTGAGCACCTGAGGGTTCATGTCAGCAGAATGAGGAAGCACTAACAGAACAGGAAACAAGCCGTACCCATTCGTCATCTGAGCAGAAAGGCCACTCCCTCTGAGAGGCACATTTCTCATCTCTGGTGCCGGGCTCCACTAGACGAGCTCCTCTGGGGTCCACAATGATTTCTGCCTGCACGCCCATAAAGAAGAAGTCAGAACGTTTCAATCAAATGTTCTCATCAGTTTAAGAAAACCCCAGAAAAAGATTTAGGATTCTAAGTTCATGTGTTTTTAGTTGTCTTCAGTTTGAGGAACAGCGTCTAAACCAAAGTTCAGTCACTCTGAATCCTCTGATTTATCAGTTTGTTTTTAAGCCCTGAGTTTACCCTGCAGGTTTCTTAAAGTCAGAACTGTGATACAGAGACTGAATGTGTTCTCAGAATGAAGGGTTAGGGTTAGGTAAGGGTCTCACCCTTAAAGGAGCAATCTTTAACTCACACCTAGTGTTTAAAATGGGTACTGCAGTCTAAACATTACAGAGAGCTGAATGAATATTCAGAGTAAAGTTAGCTTTGTTATAAAACTGTCTGAATCATGGTCCCCTCATTCCATCGTTATCTCAGCTCGTTTTAAAATATTTAAAGTTTGAGTCTCACCAGAGTCGATGCCACACAAATCAAAGCGAGACAGACGAGGCGCTCCATCTTGGTATCCTGTGAGTGACGGCTGCTCTCTGAACGATGTTTGAAGCGGAGTGACGGCTGCTTCCTAAATGATGTCTGATCGGCCGTCTGACCATTTAAAGCCTCTGGAGGTTACTCGTGTTTGTGCTGATCGATCGGAGGCTGTTTGTCGTACTGTGTGTATCTTTGCTGAACCCCCGCACTGAACAAACTGACCACCCCACTTTACTGATCCAGGAGGTTACTGGTGCTTGACCCGGTGTGCTCTCTGAGAGCAAACAGTGACTAACAGCACGGAGAGTCAACATGAGGAGTCCTGAAATAATGAATCACTGAGAGCCGTCTGTTGATGTGTCGTCCTGTTTAACTCCTCATTCTCTAGTTTGATGTTTAAATTACAAAATAAAATGTTCCTGTGACGATTCAGAGGGACTGCAGAGAGGCTTCAGCTTTCTCTCCTTTTGTGACTTTAATCATTTTCACTTTAATAAAAACATTTGATTTCTTCTTTAGTCATGAGGTCAAAGTTCGTTCAGGAACTCTTCAGCTGGTCCTGATGTCTGTCTGAGGACGAGCGTCGCCCCCTGCTGTTGGAACAGAGGTATGACTGTCACCTGTCAGAAACATCACAACCGCACTGAGAAGTTTCTGTATTAACCAGGAAGTCAAAAAACAAATGTTCCTGCTTGAAGACAGAAAATCATGAAATCAGATTTTTAACGCTGAAGAACAGCTGGAGACACGTGACGAATGAGCCTCGTCGTTTTGTTGACGTGTTCATTAAAGAGTTTTTACACCTCTGTGAAAGTCTTTAACATCTCTCTTACTCCTGGATGTTATTATTCAAATCATTAGCAGATCATTTCACTTCTGTGACCCTGAACTTCCTCCAGTGTGCACTGCGTGTCTGCTCCGTTACGGCTCCTTCTCGCCCGTCACCCACCAGCGGCGTCCTCCGTCTGCAGCACGGAGAGCGCCGCCGTCAGCTGGAGTGCCGAGACAAAAGAATTCAAAGGAATCCTCGCCGTAACTTTACAGATTCACTCTGGACAGCACGAGTTAATACGATGAATGTATAAAACTGGATATAAACACACAGAAGGTCCAATCAAAGTATTTTTTTCTGAAATTAAACAAGATGTTGTAATGTTTCTGACTTCCTGTCCCACTCTGTGGTTCATTGATGCTCCGTGCTGCAGAAACAGAAGCTTTGTGTTTCTGCAGCAGACGATGCAGCAGAGACGGAGGAAGAACACGAATAAAGTCCTCTCTGCTCAGATCATGATTCATTATTTTCATCATGAAGGGAAAGAATTGTAGATTTAATATGTAGAGAAGACAAATCTGGGTCTGTTTGAGCCTTTAAACAACAACACCAACACGTTACTGTTCACATTAAAGGTCAGTGAGCTGTGTAGAGAGTGAGATGATAAAGGTATCTTACTCTCTGATCATTAAGGAAACATGCTATGTTGAAGTGCTGGCTTCTCTGACAACAATGCAGCAGCCAGTATGTCCTCCTTCTAACTTTACATTCTGCTCCTGAATGCTCTGGATGGTAGAGTCTATGCTTCGCTGAGCATCCCCAGCTGAGCAACATGTCCGATGTGTCCTTGGGGAAGACACGTAACCCTGAATTGCTTCTGTGGCGGTGTATGAATGGGATTAGTTACTTCTGATGGATGATACTACATAGCGACCACTACCATCAGTGTGTAAAAGGGTGTGAATGTGTGTGTGTGACAGGCGGTGTGAAAGAGCTTTAAGTAGTCGGAAGACTAGAAAAGCGCGATATAAGCTCAAGTCCATTTACTATTTGTTTGGACCAGAGAAGGTAGGTGCTTTTAAAGCACCCCCACACGGTCTCTGTTCTGTGGGTTAGGGTTAGGGGGTCTCTGTGCTGTGGGTTAGGGTTAGGGGGTCTCTGTGTGGTGGGTTAGGGTTAGGGGGTCTCTGTGTGGTGGGTTAGGGTTAGGGGGTCTCTGTGCTGTGGGTTAGGGGATCTCTGTTCTGTGGGTTAGGGTTAGGGGGTCTCTGTGCTGTGGGTTAGGGTTAGGGGGTCTCTGTGTGGGTTAGGGTTAGGGGTCTCTGTGCTGTGGGTTAGGGGGTCTCTGTGTGGTGGGTTAGGGTTAGGGGTCTCTGTGTGGTGGGTTAGGGTTAGGGGGTCTCTGTGCTGTGGGTTAGGGGATCTCTGTTCTGTGGGTTAGGGTTAGGGGTCTCTGTGTGTGGGTTAGGGTTAGGGGGTCTCTGTGTGGGTTAGGGTTAGGGGTCTCTGTGTGGGTTAGGGTTAGGGGTCTCTGTGTGGTGGGTTAGGGTTAGGGGGTCTCTGTGCTGTGGGTTAGGGGGTCTCTGTGTGGTGGGTTAGGGTTAGGGGGTCTCTGTGCTGTGGGTTAGGGGGTCTCTTCTGTGGGTTAGGGTTAGGGGTCTATGTGTGGTGGGTTAGGGTTAGGGGTCTCTGTGCTGTGGGTTAGGGGGTCTCTATGCGGTGGGTTAATCTGTGGGTGGTGAGGTGATGCAGGAGACTGAAGCTGCTCATACAGACGTTACACTCAAAGGGCTTCAGGCCTGTGTGAAGGCGGATGTGTTTGTTGAGGTTGCTTTTATTGTTGACTAGTTTCCCGCACTCTTTGCACTCGTAAGGTTTCTCCCCAGTGTGGTTCAGCTGATGGTTCCTCAGGCTCACTGCTTGAGGAAAGCACTTCCCACAATGTGAGCAGCGGTACGGTCTCTCTGCAGTCTTGTCACACTTGTGACTGGTCAGCTCAGTGAGGTCTTCAAAGTCCTGCCTGCACAGGGAGCAGCGAGGTGGTTTCTCCACATGCGATAACTGGTGTTTTCTCAGACCTGCTGGGTCACTATAAGCTTTCTCACATTGTTCACATTTGTCTGGTTTCTCTCCGGTGTGACTGCGCTCGTGGTTGATGAGATGCTGCAGCAGCGGAAGCGTTTGTCACAGTGTGAGCAGCTGTGCGGTTTCTCCCCTGTTGTTTCTGTTGCTGAAGGATTTAGGGCACAGTGTACACTTGTGGGGTTTCTCTCCTAAGTGGGTAATCCTGTGATCTGCCAGTGACCTCTGCAGTCCAAAGCGTTCGGGACACAAATCACACTGGTACAGTTTCTCCTCCGTGTGGACCCGCTCATGCCTCTTCAGTTTTGCCAGCAGTTTAAAGCTTTAAATCACATTTTTAAAAGTCGTATTCTGCTTCCCCCTCCTGATATATCACACATCCAGACACATTGTGGGCGTGTTAACCTTTATTAAGTGACAACAGGTAAAAAAAACGTACCATCAGCTGCAAGAATGGATTAGACAGATTTACTAGATTTAATATTCTGAAAACATGTTTTCTAGGTGTAATTTGATTAATTTGAGATGTGATCAATGTGTTCATCAGGAGTTAAACCTGGTGACTGCAGGCCAGCCGGTGTGAAGTCTGATCCATTCAAAGTAATGAGCCACCTGCAAACCAGAAGTGATGTTACATTTTTAATTGTGACATAGTTTATATTTAAAGGCGCAGTATGTAGCTCTGACCCCTAGTGTTCAAAATGGGTACTGCAGTCTAAATTCTAAATATTGTAGAGAGCTGTGTCTTCCCCCCACACACAGGTTGCCATGTGGTGGTTAGAGTACTTCTTATTGAACTACAGATTTCACCTATGGTTAAACACTGAAGCTACAGTGTCATCAGGCTCATGAAAATGTGACTCAAACTGAACTGATGATAAGATGTGTATGAACACGTGTTACCTGTGTATAAACACCGGGGAAACCGGGCTGCCCACACCTTTCCCCCCAGCTCACGATGCCCCAGAGGTAAGACACCCCGAGTTCATCCTTACAGACCAGAGGACCCCCACTGTCCCCCTGACACGAGTCCACACTGCCGTCCAGATCACCTGAACACACACACACAAATGAGCACCTGCACGGTGTGTGTAAATCAGCTAGTTTGTGTGTGTGTGTGTGTGTGTGTGTGTGTGTGTGTGTGCAAACCCACCTGCACACATCATGCCTGGTTTGAAGCGATCTTTGTAAAATCCCTGACAGTCATCGATGAGGGACACGTTGGCCCACAACAAAAACTGAGCTGCTCGGCCGTCTGTCAAAACAAACATTTAGATTTCAGTTCTCACATTTAAAAACGATTTATTTCCCTCCGTTAATCTCTACTTTGTTACCTGCGGTCCGTCCCCACCCGGAGATGCTGCAGGTGTGGTTGGGCTGGAACAGGTGTGTTGTCCAAGGAACACAGACGGCGCTGATGGCCGGGTTATCCACCAGACACTCCTCTCTGAAGGGAAGCTTCTGCAGCTGCACCAGAGCGATGTCATTCTGGTACGTGCTGGCGTTGTACCTGCAGGACATTCACTCTGTTACCATTCAGTCAACATTCACTTCATGTATTAATGCCGTGCTCTGCAGGGTAAAGGTTTAGATAAATGGACGGATACATTGGGTGGATGTGAATCTCCTCGACGGGAACGATGTCAGTCGTGTCCTGAGCGCGAGACTTCTTCCAGAGAGAAAACTTCACTTTGAATGCAGACGGGTTGGGCCTGACGTAAAGAGAGGTGAGAGACTATTAAACTGAGAGCATGAACATCAGATAATGCATCACCAACAAAGAGGGGTCACTGATTGGTTGTCTCAATGAGTCGAGTGAGGTGAACCTTCAGGAGTTAAGTGTTAGATGAACTGAACTTCTGTTGGTTTGTCTGGGAAGCCTTCCCAACAGGATTGGTCAGAAGTCGATGCGTATCTCAGGTGCACATAGTAGTCTACTTTCCTGCTGTATCAACATTCACAGATCCTTACCTGACGCAGTGAGCAGCGGTGATTACCCAGCATCCTCCAATATAAGCGCCCCCACAATCAATCTTCCCTCTTTCCTCCAGAGCAACCTGCCACTGGATCTGAGTCTGCAGACGGACACACGAGGGTATGTTTCAATGTAACGTTCAGGATCCTTTAACATGAAGGAACTTGTGTGTTTACTGACCGGGTTTGCTGGGACTCCACCCACCACTCTCTTGACTCGGCTGCTCCGTCCTCGCTCCTCTGCTTCCAGATCGTCCACCGTGGTCGCATTGGGGATCCCACAATACAACCTGGTCTCCATATGCTTCCTGCTGACCTTTATTTCTGGACACAAAGAGTTCCTAAACATTCATACCCAGCTGTGATGATATTTGGTGATGTTCGGGAAACGCTGAGTCCTGGACCCGTTGGCTGTAACTTGACTTTTGGTTTACTAGACTGCAGCACTGACACATGACTACCCTATTATGTGCACACCCGACTTCTCCAGACATATGTGAGGACTAAAACGGTCCCTCCATTGACCCTGAACGTCGGGACACCTGATGACACATTATTGTAATGATTGCTGTGTTGGTTACGTACCTTCCTTTGGAGAATGATACTCTGAAACGAGGAAACAACAAACATCCTTATCACCAACACAACTATCATTCAAAGGGATCAACACACTGCAACGCTTCAGTTACAGACGTACCTGTGTTGTTGAGTCGTTTATCAACCTTCGGACCTGTTGGAAAAAATATCTATTTTATAGAGTAAAATCACTGACGGATAGTTTTAAACTGACAGAACTAACAAATGACGCTCCACAATATGTTCATAGTTGGACAACAAGTTGCACTAAACTCTTAAAGGGATACTTCACCCGTTGAAACATGAATCTGTATTGACATTGGGTCATATATGTCGTAGAAATGTGAAATAAATTTAACGTTTCGATTCTGGGAGTGAGTTCCCACTCACTGATCTGTGATTGGTCTGTAGCTTCAGTGGTCAAAAATATGAGGAACTAGCGTTCATCATCATCAAAATCATCATTTTGCGTCACTGGAAGCTCCTGTTCAGACTCAGAACTGCAAATATTTCACATCTCAGGGGAAAATGAGGGCGGGATGCACGACCATTCAAAAATACTACCAGGTTTCTAATGATACAAAGATTAATGCTAATGGGTGAAGTATCCCTTTAAGTCATTGGTGTGATTGGACCTAAGCTAGAGAACAACAACATCCAAACTGGCCCCTCCTCCAGAGCTCATCGCCACCAGAAGCACACGCCCACTGCAGGACTTTAGCGTGTACGTTTAGTGCTTGTACCTACACTGCAGGCTACCTGAGAGTTGTTGTGATGGGAAAGCCGATCATTTAGCAAGCTAGCTAACAAGCTAACAAGCTAACCACCGGTGTTGTGGACCTGCCTGTCTAACAGAAATGATCGCTCTTCATCACATTCCCAAAGAGCCACATGTGGGTAAAAGACAACACAAGGTTCAACCTCGTTTTAGAACGAGCTTTATCCGCTCTGCGTTTCACCTCACTGTGATTATATTTTCTCTTCTTTGCTGCACACACCAGCTCCGCCCAGAAACGTCCCGAGTCAACCAGAACAAAGCAGAACAGTTAAATCCAGTCAGAGGACAGAGCCTCTGCAGACACAGTCACCACCACACATGTATGGAGGCCCAGAAGGGACAATGGAGCAGCTTTACTTTAGGAGAAGACTGTATTTTATTTTGAAGGAAACAGGATACTGACTCTACCTTTAAAGAACAAAAACAAAATGGCCGACAGAGCAAACAACTGCTGTTATCCTATTCCTAAAACTGTAACAAGTGGTTACCTAACACACATAATGAATGCTGATATGACAGAACAAGATCTTCAAACCAAGGTGAACAATGGTGGGCTGAAATATTTAAACATTTATGTTGGAGTGTCTCTGTTTCTCACTGCTTTCAATAGTGTGCTTGAGCGATTCATCCTCGCCATCCAGGCAGTCAATCTGTCCGTCACGGAGGGCCTCTCTATGCACACACACGCCCGTCTTACAGCGGAAGCTTCTGTTCCTGCATTCTGACATGAAAACATCAACACAAGAAATCAGTCAAGTCAAAGACACGCCGTGAAGAGTAACCAGAAGTATTGGTGTGTTTAACTTTGATTTACTTTTGCAGCACATCTCGTCACTGCGGTCGCCACAGTCGTCCACGCCATCACATGTCTGGTTCAGAGACACACACTTTGTGTTTGCACATCTGAAGTCACACTCCGCCTCTGAAACAAATTTAACAGGACTCAAGGTCAAAGGTCAGAAACAACTTCTCATGATGGACAGGCTAAAGGCATCAATCAGAAATGTTCATTTATTCTGTTTGTCCGACTAGAACCGGACTGAGATCATACTATCTGTCAATTTCCACATATTCCGAGAGCATTCCGTCAGCGCCACGGTTTTGCTCCATCAGGCAACGCGCGCCCTAACCCTCTGGGTCCATTTCTGCAGCTGTACTGGTGGGTTCATGAGATCACAGAGAACTACAAGATCACGCGGGAATAAAGAGAACATCGTGCTAACAACATGTAACACGCCTCTCTGAGGATGATTTGTTGTTCATTCTGTTTCCTTGTATGACTTCCTGTCCGGGTCGTCCTATTCTGTCCAGCTTGACGTGTGCATGCAGCCAGCTCCGTCGTAAAATATAATTGGAGCATATTCGAAAACGGATCAGAGAATAGCTGCTGTTAAGAGACGGACTGCGGCGTGCGATGTGGAAGCAGGAGCATTTATTAATTTGGCAGTGCACGGTGTTGTAGTGTGCGGCTTTTACTGGCCACGGCGCGTACAGACTATGTGAAAAAGTAAGTTGAACATCTCAAAGTCTTTGCTTGCATGGTTACGACCCCAGCAGACCTAAACTGGACTAGTCGTTCTGAGCGCGCTTCTCGTTGACCGGCGAGTAAAACTTCATGAATGTTTGGCAGAAAGTCATAAGAACCCAAGGAGCAGGTATGGACATGGTGAGGAAAGGAAAATCCAGAACTGATTGTTTGGTATGCTGAGAGCGGGCATATCAGCACCTAGCATAGCAGCACCTAGCATAGCAGCACCTAGCATAGCAGCGGCAGACGTAAAAACGTTTTCCCCTCGTGCCGGTAGACGGTATTCATATTAAACTGCCCGATCCAGCTCAAACCGTAGCTCGCCTTCACTGTGCATGGAAACGTACCGAGTGAAGGAACAGGACAGAATCCAAAAACATACTGACCATTCGCTGCCTGTGAAGCCCCATAACAGGTTGTCGTGGAAACATTCCTTTTGCCAATATTCACCGTGTTGTAGATTAAACACTCGGCTAAGGAGCTCTCATAACCTTGGCAGCGGATGCTAGCACATTTCTCTGGGAACTGCTTTTCCTCCCCGGGAGTTATCAAGGACTCGTATGACACATCACCAGCAGTCACTGCCCCGCTGTAGAAACACAAACAGAAACACTTAGAGGAAGAATGTGAAACTTTTTGAGCCCCTGAGCACCAGCGAGAACAAGCCTCATATAAATCTATAAACTCTCACAGTGGAAAGCCATGCTCCCTGCAGGCTACGTTAGCAGCAGCCATGTTCCAAATCTTCTTACAAACCAGTGACTTCTCTCCATCACTTCCTTCTTCTTTTGTGTTAGGAATGGAAACTTCTATCACTCCTGTTTCTGGGTGAATCGAACTTTCAAACTTTTGATAGCTCGCTGTGGTGAGACAGAGAGAAAGAGACATGAAGAACCAGAAGTAGTAAAACAGTAACACCAAACATACAACAAGGCACTTCAAGAATCTGCGAACCTCCGCAATGTTTCCCAAAGTGGGACATGGCAGGTTTCTTGGTCCGACACGTGAGCGCCATAGCCTGGAAAACAGGTAAGAGAAAATGTGTTGCCTTACTGACAAACCTTCATTCCATGCAGTTACATTTATAGATAATACCGCCCGGAGAGGGCTGGGTTATTAAAATCATCCTGGTCTTAAGGGTCTGTAACGAGAATCATTGAGATTTTAAGATTCAATTTAGAGTCTGTTTCCGATCCTGTTGAATGGTTCTTAATCTTGCCAATAGATACAGATGACAACTAAGCAGGTCAAGCATGTTTGAGAAACTTATAAGCAGCCAAGAAAACTTCACAATCCTGTTTTTTAACCAGTTCGGACTGCTAAATATGCGCAGCTCCATTGGACGGTTACCTGACAGTACGATCGGTAGCTTCTGTTGTCTTTCCCACAAACTGGCTCCCTATCATCAACCGGACACAAGTAGGGCGGTTTACAGGAGCAATGTCCATCAATGCAACGCTCCCATGGACGACAGAACACCAGGTTACAAGATGCCCGAGTTAACCTGAGAACAGTTGAAAACAACGACAGATAAATGTCACGTAATCTATACTCTGTAATCAAACAAAAATAAATTCATACTTTTGGCTTTGGAAAGTTTGACTTCCCTTGCCAAATTTTCTTTTGGGTATGCCATCTTGGAAGGTATTCCTGTAGTCACCATGTCAACACAGTTCACCGTTTAAAGCCCTGTGTGCACCTAGTGTTTTTTTCTGAGTGCCAGCGACCTTTTTTGATTGTTTTCAAAGAGATGAGAGCATTTGCAGGAGCAGGCGGCCGCCAGGAGAAAAGGGCGCTCTTTTTCAAATATATGATATTCCGCATAGTTTTGTCGCCTATAGATCGAGTCTTGTACCCACATCCTTCTCACTCCGTGTCTGATCAAGAAATAACCGATCTCAAATATAAAACATGCAGTAAAGAGTAACGGAGCAGTGGCGGTCATACAGCAGCCGTGGTCAACAGACTGTTGAGTTGGACGTGCAGTGCTTTTCTTCTCAGTGCACAAATGCTTCATGCAAACGCTCCTGAGCGCACAGTCAGCGCTTTTCGGCTCAGAAAAAAACCCTAGGTGGACGCTGGGCATAATCCGAACCTATTTGCTGTTTGAGAGACAGTAGGTCAAATCTCCTAAAAAGTAGCCTGTTTCCTGACCTCAGCCAAATGTCCAAGGCAGGATTGAGATTTTGCGCCCTTTAGGAAGTCCCAAAGAATCCAAATAGACTTACTTCTTATCCAGACACTCAGGTGGACCCAGGAACTCATCTGGCATTGCTACCTTAGATGCTGTAGGGGCAGGACTGGTTGCTAAAGGTGTGGGGCGTTGGGTTGGTAACTGTGGTTTCAGTAGCATACTCTGGATCTGCTGAATTTGCTTGTCTGTAGGTTTACGGTCATTATCCTGATAATTGCCTTGTGTCTTCTGCAGGAGCAATTTAAATGTGATAAAGTTAAATCAAAATGAACACAAATCTGACTTTTTGCCGATAAATTGTTACGCAGATGATTCATATGTTTATATCTCTGTAAAAGTAAAAGTACAGACATTAAATTATGACAACATTATGACAACAGTCAAATTAAAGCATTTATTGAGTCATCTTGTTATCAATCAAATCTAATTATTTAGTCATTAGCCTTTATATTTGGCCATCGTGGACTCCTCAGTAACAATATCTAAAAGTCCTGGCAAGTTAACTGTCCTCAGTCCTCAGCCAAGACCTTAGGGGTTGGTTTGCTATTCTCATTTCAGCATTTTAAGATAATCACATGACTAATTTCATCCATCATCTTCTCAAATGTTTGACCAATGAACAACTTAGAATCTGGAGGTAGAGTGGGTTGTTTCTCATTTCTACATTTGGGGGTTCGATTCTGAGTTAATGACAAGAAGAAACAGCAGGAAAATAGAAACGCCAGCAGACGTCATCCTGACAAACACAAAGACTCAGAGAGGAAAGTGAAACGTCTTTACGGTAGAAAACAAATGCACAGACAAACTCTCTGCAAAAGAGCAATGAGACCGTCAGCCTGATATTGCCTCTGCCCACTGATGATGACATCAATCAATCATTAGCCTGCTTTGTCAATGTGGACACAAACACTGTCAGAAAACCAAATGATCCAGCTGACTCATCATGTTATGTCCCACAGAAGTCAATAAAGTGTCAGGGGAGGGGTGCATGTGGGAAAAACCTGTTAAGTCAGATTTTAAATTTCCTTTTAACCAACCTCGAAATTATTAAACTAGGGACATCCCTGATTCGTTAAATGTTCTACAAACTAAGCTAGCAGCTTATTTTCCAGCTAGTTTCTTTGTTTGGTTAAGAAAAACAGTTGATTACATGGTTTGAATCTAATTATTTAAATGTGTATTATCTCAAGATTTTATTGTTTTTTAAAGCCAAACAGATTAGTCCTTGAGAAAAATGTTGGTTTGCTCTGTTGGGGCCTGTGTCCACTAATGGCTTCTTTTACGCTAGGAGTGATCACGTCTGAAATTTAAGAGCACTTGTCAATAGCGCTTACTGTTGCTAGGTTACGCAAGGTGGCTCACAGCACTTTTTGCTTCTCTCCGTATTGATCATTATTCCTGTTTTAAAACGATTAATGTGTTTTATATTGGATTTTATTTGGGAAAATGTCTCCTCTGCCATTGTTGTTGACAAAGCTAGTATCAAAAGTCCCGCCCCTTCTCAATTTTCATTGGTAGGTGAAGGACAAGTGACATTGATGATCTCAACTATGTTACAAAGTGGTTTTCAATGCAGTGACAAAAAAAAACAACAGACAAAGAACAACCAAAAAAGATAGTTTAACGTAAATTATACTGAATTTTGGAACAAAATATGCATTCTGTTTAACGTTCACCAAACTTAACTTCTGTACAATAATACAATACTACACCTTTCCATGTATCACCTGAGACCCACACCTGAGTTTAAAGAGGGAGTCTGAAAGACAGCATGACTGAGTTCACTCACCGATTCTGAGTTAATGACAAGAAGAAACAGCAGGAAAATAGAAACTCCAGCGGACATCATCCTGACACAAAGACTCAGAGAGGAAAGTGAAACGTCTTTACGGTAGAAAACAAATGCACAGACAAACTCTCTCTGCAAAAGAGAAATGAGACCAACAGTCTGATATCGCCTCTGCCCACCGACGATGACATCAATCAATCATTAGCCTGCTTTGTCAATGTGGACACAAACACTGTCAGGAAACCCAATCGATCCAGCTGACTCATCATGTTATGTCCCACAGAAGTCAATAAATTGTCGGGGGAGGGGCGCATGTGGGAAAAACCCAGATTCTTTAGAGTACGACAGATTTTCCTACGGGGACGATGATGTTGTATAAAAATAATAATTCATACATTATTAATCCAGCGAGGGAAATTTGGTTTTACACTCAGTTTTGGGGTTCAAGTTTTGGGTGTCATATTGTATTGTAACATATCATATCGTGGCGTATCATTATTTATCGTAACTTATTGTTACTTATCGTAATGTGTCATATCACATATGAGTGTACAGTATATAATGCATACACTGGGGCGGTTTTTGAAACTACTTACACACAACCATCAAACGCAGTATGTAGTATACTCCACTCTTAGTTCAACAGTAGTATACAGTATGTACTGCAGACTGCGTTGGACAGTAGTCTGACCTAAAGTCCAACCCAGTACTCTAGATCTACCTCCTCAGCATGTGGATGATGTCATTTCTCGGATCGGTAGGATGTTTCAGGATATGACCATCGAGCTGTTCAGACCAGATCAGAACATCTGCTGTACTGCTGGTGACCCTTGGGAAGGTGGTGAAGGCCATCATGGTGACAGAAGATTCTGACTTTGGACCAAATCTAGACATTTTCAGGAGTGTGCATGAGATTGAGAATTTTAGCTTGAAAGAAACATAAACATCAATCTCATGATGGCAATGATTGGTTAAAAGACACAAACAGTGTTTGAAACTGTATTCATTTATTTGGTTTTGGTTTGGGAACAGACACAGATAACCAGAGAGAGCAGATCAGACTAGTAAGACAACTTTAAATCAAGATTAACACGTCAAATATACAAGTATCAAAATTCAGATATAAACAAAGACAGTCAGTGCCGCGATTCAGCTCCATCTGACAGTGAGCATCCTGCCCCATTGGGTCTGTTTCTGGAGCGTGAGCGCAGCCATGAGTGGCTGTACTCACAAGATCACAGGAGAACTACAAGATCACGCGTGAAGTGGAAACAGGAGCATTGAGAAGAGTGGCAGCAGACGGCACCATAGAGTGTGGCGCTGACTATATGGAAATTGGCAGTGAGACAGTTTATCTTTAAGGTGGTCTTTTTAATACAACAATCTGTTATTTTGATGAGCGATTGAAGCTTTACCAATCAGATCAAGAGTCAATTTTCTTAACCAAAATCTGCCGCCAGTAAAAAGAGCACTTCACCGTCGTAACAGCACCAATGTGTTGCCAATATATTTGTGCTGTTACAACAGTGTGCAGGAGTCTACCTGCTATATTTGATCATTAAAAACAAGAAATTACCAAATATGGGTTGCCTATGACATCTTCTTGTTGTCCTGATATCAGTTGGATTTTTACTGAAATCGTATCAAAGTTTAATAATCTGTAACAATGAAAACCATGTTGAGCTTCAGCTGTGAGAGTTAGCCGGACAGAGGATAAAAAACAGGACTTTAAGATCAGAAGCATTGAGTTTAATGTTTGTAAAACTTATAGACGTGTTCAGAACAAAGTTAAACATAAATCAGTCAGGATTAAAGAAGAACAATCACATCCTTGAAAGGCAACCAGTTAGAGGAGTATGGCTTTCATTTTGTTTCCACACAAAGTTATATTAGACGACAAAACATCATACACACAACAATAAACCTGATTATTATTATCTTATAAGTTGTAGTCTAAACAAACACATTCGTAAATAGGCAGGATGACAAGTCCTAGCAGAGATAGTTTGACACCAGTTGGGTTTAAGTTGTTGAACAGTTCCGCTAACTTAAAGGATCAATCAGTGAGATGTGTAGAGAGTGAGATGATAAAGGTATCTTACTCTCTGATCATTAAGGAAACATGCTATGTTGAAGTGCTGGCTTCTCTGACAACAATGCAGCAGCCAGTATGTCCTCCTTCTAACTTTAGATTCTGCTCCTGAATGCTCTGGATTTGTTTGGACCAGAGAAGGTAGGCGCTTTTAAGACACGCCCCCACACGGCCGTTTTGGACGCCCCTCGGTTTGTCAGATATGAGAGCAGTTATCAGGTCAACAGGTGTTGCAGTGATGGAAGCGGTCAAGAGAAGTGGTTCAGATAGAAGTGATTGTACCCGACCTAAAAAGCCTCTGCATGTTTCTAATAAGCTCCACGAGCAGAAACGTGCTCAAACTAGGATCAATATTGGAGATGCTTTTGAAAAATGGAGAGAGGTTAGAACACAGAAAGGTTTACAGACCCATGCAGAGCTGGATAAACACTGAAGCTTCAGAGTCCACCACATGGTGACCTGAGTGAGCATCCACTCTAGAGAGGAGGGAGGGGGGGAGACAGCTCTCTACAATTAGAATTTAGACTGCAGTACTGATTTTAACCACTAGGGGTCATAGTTATTGCTCCTTTAAAATAACATTCTGCACTAATGTGAACGACAAGACAAACCAACACAAATGATTCTGATGCGCTCGTTGAATTTAAAAACCTTTAATATAAACACAAGGCGAAATAATCAAGAAAAAAGGCAAAATACTGACACCCACAAAGAGGCACATAAACATAAAAGATAAACACATAATGACTCAAAATGAAGAATCATTCTCATGTTTTCATTGTATTGCACCACATTAATCACCGTCTGTTACGGTAAAGCCTGGCCATATATGGTCATATCACTTCCTGCCGTGAAGCACATACAGTTACGTCTCACAATAAAGAATAACATGCAATGCAAAAAGAGAAACGCTTCAGAGATACAGTGGAACACAGACACACAGAGGCACTGACATGAACAACTGAATGAAACAGGACGACAAAAACCCTTCATTAAAGAAAGTCTGTGACAACTTGGTTTTCTTTGAGCAGTACTTTAAGTCAAAGTTTCAAGTTTTTCACCATTTTTAACCCCAAAAACGTCTAAAGGTTGACTGTTTGAAAACTTGATTTTGAATAAAATGTTGTGGTTTTATTCTACCTCGACTCTCAAGAATAACAAAACTGTTGGTTATTTTGTGTCTTGTCATATTTATTCGATATTTTGATACACAATAAGGTGTCAGTAATCACATTAGGGATGCATGTGTTTACTCGACTTAACCGTTAAACGCCATCGCTAGTCAGCACCAGAATTACAAGTTGGTGAAACTAATTATTAACGCTTTAACTCGATGTCGGACTAATGTTGTGCTCAGACTGCAACGCAGCCGTCCCCCACTAGTTGGGGCTGTAGCTCCTGTTAACGGGCCTGCTCTCTGTGCTCTCCAACCCAGATGTAAACAAAGTGAACAGATATCATCTGAGCAGAGCGGTTTGTCAGTAATTAGATCTGTAAGGTGGAGATGAAGTCCGGTGTTAACGAACACTGACGTGAAAGTTTTTGTTCATTCTGTGACAGAACAGAAAGCATGCTAACGTTGTAGCATAAGCTAGGAGTGCGATGCTAATACAACACACCTTGTTAAATCAATCACTGCATCTAACTGGAAATATTATTGATCAGTACAATACCTTTAACTTTATGACTGAGCTTATTATTTTCTGGAGGAAGTGTTAGCATTAGGCTATATTAGCATGTTAGCTTAAAACTCTTTTCAGTTTCCAAGCATTAGCGGTTAAATTAAAATCCACTGGAGCGTTATTTTGTTTTGTCACAACTTTCTCTATAAAGGACTCTGGTCTTTTTATTCTAAGACTAACAACAAACTTCTGAATATTTTTCTGCACTTGGCGCGTTAACTTGTTACGTTACATTTGATATCAAACACTCAAAAACTACACCCTTAAATATAAATATAGGACATAATCATTAATAAGCACCAAATACACACAGAAAAAAAAGACACGCAGAGCAAGAGACACGTATGATTTGGTCTTTGAGGTCGACACATTCGTCACGGGGAGAAGGCGAACTGTTCCCTGCTGTCTCCTTTATTGGAGTTGGAAAGTTTTGAACAATTAGACGCAAAATAAGAATAAAGTCAGGAAATATTTCTCACTATTGTTTGTATTTCTGGTGGTAAATATTTATATTAGATTGTGCTTTATTTAAACTTGTCAGTCCATAAATAGAAAGCGAGCATTCATTTCTTCATGTTTAGTGTTTATAATAAAATCTCTCATAACACACACGACGACTCGTAAAATAAATTAATCCTTCAGGATTTTTAGTTTTCTGTCAACAGGAAGTGAAGCAGACGTGGAGAAAGGGAAGTTTTAGTTGTGCAAAGATTCCTCGGAGGCGGGGCCGTTCGGCGTGCAGTGACCAAGCTGCAACATAACGAGTTTAAAAATGAATGATGCTGAAGTGTAAATAAAAACTGCAGTTCCTCAAGTGTCCACTAGAGGCTGACTTCAAAGTGAGTCAGTCCCCATTAGCTTAAAACCCGCCTCAGCTCCAGCCTGTCGTTAAGTTGATTGAACCTTCAAACCATCCATGGCAGAGATTATAGGTGTCTGAGAAATGAAAGTCAAATTACATTAAAAACTGAACTTCATGAAACACGGACGGAGAAAACGACGGAGAGGTTAATAGAGTGTTAGCTAAGCTTGTTTATATTGCTGCTAAATGTGAGCGTGTACCGCCGGCTGTGTTACTCTGCTTTCTTTTCTATTGCCCGGCACGTTCAAGCTTGGAGTATGAGTCTTTAAGCTGTGTGTGTGTGTGTGTGTGTGTGTGTGTGTGCGTGTGTGTGTGCGTGTTATTAAAAGCCACGGTTGGTGAGAAGGCTGCGTTGCATGTGCACAGACACGATGGCGTGCTCCGTGCACATGTGGCGTGACATAAGGAAATCATAAAGGCAAACTATAAAGATTATAAATAATGTGTTCAGACGGTGAGAAGAGAATCTCTCGTCTCTTATTGGTTCCTCCTTGTCGCCTTCAACAGCTGATCTCTGCTGCAAACACTTTTTTCTACCTTGTGCTTTTATATGAACCCCCCCCCCCCCCCCCCTCCTTCCTGACATTAAAATGGGATTAAATAGACGCTCGACTGATAACACGTTTTATCTGACAGGCGCTGAGAGGAAGCCCGTTGGGGGGGTCGGTGTAACTTGAAATAATCTCATCTGTCCTCAGAGTCGAAGGAATAAATAAGCACGTTATACATATAATGATTACAAATATATAGAGAGAGCCCTGTCGTACTCCTGATCTCACACCCTGATACTGGTCTTCACTGAGTGAGATACACCTGGACCCTCCTCGAGTCCAGCTGCACTGTGACGTGTTGGGGAGGATTACGGGGTCCCAACAGGGGATCCTTTGAGGCTGCTGAGGGCCGCATGGATCCTGAAGTGCAGTCTGGACTCCATGGAGTAGTCCTTGTAGTTAGTCCTGATGAAGAACAAAAGCTCTGGTTCAGTTTCTTGAACATAGAATTAAAGGGAAGGCTTCAGGAACGAGAGCTTACTTGGCGTTCTCGATGTACATGGCGGCCTTGGTGAAGTCTCCCTGCTGTTTGTAGAGCAGACCCAGCTCATACAGAGTGAAGGGAATCAAGTAGTGATCGTATCTGATACGACCCTCACTGAAAGTCAAACACACACACAAATACAGATAGGACTCGTTATCTTCTCTCTCTGACACCTCAAGGAGATAAACAAGTGCCTGACTCCGTGTCTCTACGTTACCTGGAGAGAACCTGCGTGAAGCAGAGCTCCGCCTGCAACAACCTGCCCAGGTGTTTCAGACAGAGGCCCTTCAACATCTGGACCAGGCAGCTGTCATCTGGATGAAACTCAGTCGGGTCTGATCAGAACAAGATACAAATCGTTTTCTCATATTTTATCATTAATAGAGGTGAGAGACAAAGCTTGTCTTGACTGTGTTAAGGAAAGATATTTAAATAAGACATTTATTAAGCTACATGTTGTTAAAGTAGCTGGTTTACTATCCAGAGCTAGTACCATGTAGGACCCCATACTGCTTTACAGTAACCTTAAGACTTAGTGGCATAGATTCACAAAGAGGCTGGAAACATATTCAAGAGAATTTAGAGACTTGGTGGTTTCTAATCTCTTCACTTCCACCACATCAACTTAATGCATAGAGTTGTTGTCAGGTGATTGGCCTTTGGTCAGTATTTCCCAAAGTTGGGGTTGTGAGACAATGTGAGGGGAGTTGCGAGATGCCTTCCATAACCAAATAAATAGTTTAATCATTTAATTTGCGCATTTTACCCATTAATACATATATACATAGTTGAATTTAAAGTACAACTACAGTTGTTCTGTTACATGTTTCAATAATTTACTAAAATAGGGACAATGGGGTTCCCCAGTCTCTAGCAAAGTTATTTTGGGGGTCCCAAGCTGAAATGTTTGGGAACCCCTGCCTTGGTTATTAGTTTAAATGGTAACTTATGTAGCAGTATCATCTGCATAAAGTATAAACTGTCATTATTTATTCTGATAAGTTGCATGCAGTACAAACAAAAGATAAGTGTGCCAAGAAAAGAACCCTGTGGCACGCCAGGTTCACTCCAATGATCAGTATAATTAGTTAAGATTGTGGGGAAGTAGCAATAGTAGCATTGTTGTAGTTTTTCAACTTACTGGAGTCGGCTCGAAGCTGCTCCTCAGCAGCCTCTATGGTCACCAGCAGGGCTTCGGTAGAGTCGGCTCTCTTCCCGACGATGGTGAAACCGTTCCAGACGTACATCATCTCCTGCAAAGAAGAAAACAGTAATAATCGACTGTTAATGAAAGCTTCTACTTTTTACAGTATATTTCACTGTTTCCACAAGAACAAACGGACATCGTGTGAATTATTTCTGAATTCTGTGGCTGGATGACATATGCATGGCATATCTTACAAATACTGCGGCACACAGTTACCACCAACTCCAAGTCATTTGTTCACTCTAACCACGCATGGCCATGAACGCTGTTGTTGAATTACACTTCTTTCAATGCGGCTCATTTGCTGATGAAGGGAACAGTTTTGTCACAGATAACTTCCTAATGACTCATTAAAATACACGCCAACAACACTGTTACAACTAGTGTGGCAAGTTGACAGCTTTGTTACGTAAACGGTGGCTTTTTAACTTCTTTTTTGCATTTTTCAACATTTTTATGATTTACGTTTATGGCTCACTGAAGTCTTTACTATCGAAACACTTGTTAAGCCAGTGGCGGTGCATCTCACATGCAGTGTTCAGTGTTAGGAACAACATCTGAGGTAGTTGATCTACTTTGAGATTTCTTCTATTTCTACATGGCCAAATTAAACATATCTAATAAATCTTTGTAAGTGATGGCACAGATGTATTTTTCTGTGTGTATGGTCGAGAGGTGTGTGTATACCAGTGCAGGGATGACCAGGGGGATGGGCTTAGCAGCTTTGTAGCGTCTGGACTTCCTCACTGCAAATTTCTCTGTTGGGATCGACTTCCCCGCAAGCCGTTGTTTCAGCCCCTCCACCTGCCTGCACAAGTAATCATATTCATACTTATATTATTAAACCCTGAATGATATCATACAACCTGAGCCCCTAACCATGACCGTTAGACCTTACAGAATTTGAACTCAATAAAATCCTGTGTAGACTCTCAAACAGTCCAAACAGAAGATCACCTTATTATCCACATCCTACAACACATTTCACACATGAAGTCTGAAGAGTGGAGATTTAAGTGAACTCCAGAAGATCCTGTAGTAACATTATTAATGCTAAAAGAGGTTCACTAACCTAAAGAGCTCCATGATGTCCTCCCCAGTCTGCTTCACCTCCTCCTCGGACATCATGCTGAGGATGGCTGCTTTCTGGTACACATAAATAGCCTGACAAAAGGAAAGAGAGGATTTATCTTGGTCCTTATGGGAGGTAGAGCCTTCAGTTATCAGGCCTGCTCGTGGTACCTACAGTCTCTAAATGTACTATGGGAGGTAGAGCCTTCAGTAATCCGGCCTGCTCATGGTACCTACAGTCTCTAAATGTACTATGGGAGGTAGAGCCTTCAGTTATCAGGCCTGCTCATGGTACCTACGGTCTCTAAATGTACTATGGGAGGTAGAGCCTTCAGTAATCCGGCCTGCTCATGGTACCTACAGTCTCTAAATGTACTGAGGGAGGTAGAGCCTTCAGTTATCAGACCTGCTCATGGTACAGTCTCTAAATGTACTATGGGAGGTAGAGCCTTCAGTTATCAGGCCTGCTCGTGGTACCTACGGTCTCTAAATGTACTATGGGAGGTAGAGCCTTCAGTAATCCGGCCTGCTCATGGTACCTACAGTCTCTAAATGTACTATGGGAGGTAGAGCCTTCAGTTATCAGACCTGCTCATGGTACAGTCTCTAAATGTACTATGGGAGGTAGAGCCTTCAGTTATCAGACCTGCTCATGGTACAGTCTCTAAATGTACTATGGGAGGTAGAGCCTTCAGTTATCAGACCTGCTCATGGTACAGTCTCTAAATGTACTATGGGAGGTAGAGCCTTCAGTTATCAGACCTGCTCATGGTACAGTCTCTAAATGTACTATGGGAGGTAGAGCCTTCAGTTATCAGACCTGCTCATGGTACCTACGGTCTCTAAATGTACTGAGGGAGGTAGAGCCTTCAGTTATCAGACCTGCTCGTGGTACCTACAGTCTCTAAATGTACTATGTTAGGTAGAGCCTTCAGTCACCAGACCTGCTCGTGGTACCTACAGTCTCTAAATGTACTATGGGAGGTAGAGCCTTCAGTTATCAGACCTGCTCGTGGTACCTACAGTCTCTAAATGTACTATGGGAGGTAGAGCCTTCAGTTATCAGGCCCCTCTCTTTTGGAATCAACTACCAGTAAGAGTCCCAGAGGCAGACACCCTCTTTTAAGAGCAGGTAAACATTTCCTTTTTGATAAAGCTTATAGTAAGGGCTGGCTCAGACTTGGACACTCCTAGCTAAGCTGCTATAGGCTTAGACCATATGGCAGCCTACTGGCAGAATCTTTCCATTATTTACAAAACAATAAATAATCTAGACAGAGCATGGGACTATTGACTTGTAAGGAAAATTGTTTTTGACTTGTAGACCCTAGCAATCAGATTTTTATAACTGATGTTTTCTGTCACATCTTAAAGCTTTATGTGGTTTGTATGTGTCTACTCACTTTAGACCAGCGGCTCTCTTTGCACAGCAGGTCAGCGTAGTGGTACGCCTGCTGCCACTCCTGCTGGTAGGAGTGAGTCCACATCAGCTCCCAGTAACACAGGTGGTGGATCTGCTTCCACTCCTCCTGGCTGCTGATACACTCCTCGTACATCGCCCGTGCCTGAAACATGGAAACATCTGACACATCAACACTGAGCCATGATACATATATATATATATATATATATATATATATATATATATATATATTTAAATAGTTCCACTAAATTCCAGGAAACTGATGTGTTGCATAGACTGTTGATAACTTTTTCCTGCTCCACTTTTCAGAAAATGTGTGCTCAAACAGGCCGTTTGGAGATTTTCCCTTCATGACATCACAAAGGGCAGTAGCCCCTCCCCCAGGTGGGTGACACTCCCACAGCTAGGTGTTTGTTCTGCCCTCTGAGTCTGCCTTCTCACCGTAAACAATAGGACATGGAGCGAGAAAGCCCGAGACACCCAAGCCCTTCCAGAGAGGGGCGTGGTCAGACACAGTTCATTTACATATTTAAAGCTACAGACACAGGAACATAGATTTACATATTAGTCATTTAGGCTTACATTTTTGTGATTTCTATTTTGAAATAAGAGGTGATGTCAGGTGAATTTGTAATGGTCATGAGACGATTACTGTCACTTTGATTTGATTTGTTACAGCATTCACTGTCTGAGGTGAACTTTGATTGAGGCTCAAGTTGAGTTGAATTTTAGGGTCAGCTAATATTTATGTAAAGCGAATGAGTGTCCTCACTGATAGTTAAAATGTGTGTGTGTTTCAGACCTTCTCGAAGTTCCCTCGCAGCGTGGCGATACGAGCAGAGTAGAAGAGAATGATAGAGCCCTGAAAGAACAGAAACAAAAAGCAGTTTTTACATGTTTAAATCTCTTCAGCTAAACACTGCAGATGTGTATGTGCAGCTTTGACTTCTTTCACAGTAGATATTAAAACAGAAACATAAGCCATGATCGGTTCTCATGACGTCGTTAATTGTCTTTTAGGTCTCGAGGCTGAACATTTCATATTATATCCAGACTCAGTTTGGTCGACTTACTTTGGGGTATTTGTGTCTGTAGGGCTCCAGCAGAGCTTCAGCCTCCACCAGGTTCCCCTCTCCAGTCCCTGATCAAACACAGTCACATGATCACCTTCTGTTATCATGTCAGTAACATGATCACCTTCAGTTATCATGTCAGTAACATGTGATCTGAACTCTGCATGACCAGAGAAGAACACTCAACCTTTAAAATCATACAACAGAACTTGTTTAAGGCGGGGAGAGAAGCAGCAAATCCTCCAACAGACATGAGTGACAACAGCATGTTTTTGATTAAGTCAGACAGCATGAAAGAGGAGCTGGGAGGAGGAGGGATGCAAATGTGGCATGCAGAGGGAGCAGCAAAGAGTAGGCAGCTAGAGCAGCTTAAGTAACTAACGCTATTCTCAACATGTGTTTCCTACCAAGTATGAGCGACACGTATGTGTGGTAGAAGAGCAGAGTCAGAGCGCTGAGGATCGCTCTCAGGCTGTGACTGGACGCTCCCTCCCTCAGCTGAGACAAACCGAAGCCCTGCACAGACACACACAGGTATTAATTCATGAACAAAATGAAGCATGACACCTGTGTGAAAGTCCTTTAAAGTTCATATTTACATGTTTTACACTCAACAGACAGACTTGGCGGTGTCACTTTAAAGGTGATGTACTGACCCTGTTCCCTGAGAATCCGATGAACTCCAACAACCTGAGAATCCTCTGAGGGAGGAGCGACAACATCTGAAAGCCAGAGACAGTTAAGAATTTAAACAAAAAACATTTAAGAAGTCGACATTTTGACTCTTTTTATATTGATGATCCGCCGATATGCTGATGACATACTCCTATTCGTGGCTAAAACATTTCATATAAGGAGTGTTCTTGTGATGATTATTTTGACTTTAACTTGCTAATTGATTAAATATTGACTTATTCTTTAACCCATGACATGCCAAGACTGTGTGAGTCACTTTTTGTAAGATGTTATAACTCAACCCATAACCCAAACCTTTGGGCGGGGGGATCAAATTTAACACCAAACTAATTTTGAACTTGTTTCTGTGGAAGTAAAGTTCAGATGATTTTAAGAAACTTTGATGAACTTAAAGTAGCAAAAATATTGACAACCCTTTTGGTCAATGAAAATCTATCTGATTCAGGTTCTTCATCCCATTTTGATTAACTAGCTGAACGTAACGTTAGCTAAAGTGAGCAGTCTGCAGACTTCCTTCATAAATCTCAAACTTCATCTCAGGTTCTTTCAGTCCACTGTAAGATAAGGTGATTTAACAAACCTGCTAGCTTGAGTCAAATCACAGGTTTTAAGACTCTTAAGAACATTTAGGATAAATGTAACTCCACTACGCAACACAAAATGTCCCATACGTCTTTTTTGTGATTTTAGTGCATTAATGCTTTATACTGAATATTTAAACAACAT